AAGCGAAATGAGCAAGAACGCTCGTTGTTACATCATTCCAGAGATAACTAAATGGCCTTTATTCGAAGTTTTTCAAGAACTATTCGAGCCACAGAATTCGTTTTGGCATCGTTGGATAGAGATTTGAAAAGTCGATTCAGTCGTAACAACGTGAGTGAGGAAATTCAAGTAGTTTTCACCCAGAAAGCGAAATTTGAATATCACACACTTAGGTGCAAGATTATGCCAAAATTCAATGTTTTCCGTCCGGTTTTTGCTCATTTCTCGGAGACAAAATGAGCAAGAACGCTCATTTGTACATCATTCTAGACAGAAATAAATGGCCGTTTTAGAAAGCGAACCATGGATGGGGAAATGTTGGCAGTTTTCTCAAAAAATGCTTGAATTCAAGAAGTTTTAGATTTGCGTGGTTTTTTTTTGAGTTGCAAAATCCCCTTGAACATGACGCTGCTTTTTTCGAAGTTTCTCAAGAACCATTCGAGCCACAGAATTCGTTTTGGCATCGTTAGATAGAGAATTGAAAACTCGATTCAGTCTTAACAACGTGAGTGAGGAAATTCGAATAGTTTTGGCCCAGACAGCGAAATTTGAATATCAAACACTTAGGTGCAAGATTATGCCAAAATTCAATGTTTTCCGTCCCGTTTTTCCTCATATCTCGGACGCAAAATTAAACATGACGCTGCTTTTTTCGAAGTTTCTCAAGAACCATTCGAGCCAGAGACCCCATGACCCCCCCTGGATGGAAAGTTGTCTGCAGTTTCACTATGCTTGGGAGACTTATCTTGCATACCCAGATCCATCCTCTGACCTTTTGTGGGTAACAAATTTAAAAATAAAGATTCGTCGAGGAACTGCACTTTTGAGAGTTCCTTGATAGTGTTTATGACATGTTCATATATAATGTTTTCAGGTGTAAATATGACCTTAAAGTCTCGCCAACTAAAAGTCTGCTCCTTGAGGAGTATTATAGACCAAACTTAACGTATCTACGGCTTGGAGAACAGCTCAAATAGGGGTTTACTTACTCAAATTTGCTGGATAATGGTTGCTGTTTATAAGTACATTTGCCTTCCAGCCTTTTTCCATTCACTATCCGGCACGCGACACGTTGAGACTGGCATGTGTATTTCAATATAAACAGTTCTAATGTTTTGCGGGAGTCGGGCAGGGCAGGGGTTCAATGAAGCTATTTTTGGCAAACAGTCATTCATCCGGATTCTTTTTAACTCGTATTTTATGGAGCAAGCGCCGTTTTATCACAGCTTGTCTCGAATTTTGCATCATGTTCATAGAATAAGGCTTATATGTTAGTTGCGAGGGAATGAGAAATGGAACAAGTGCATTGAAAAACACGGTGGAAGCTTTAGATCCGAAAAAATCGACATTTTTGGTTCATTTTAAGCGATTTTCGAGCGGTTGCGATGTTTGACAAAAATGACAATATTTTGCTAATTTAAGGCTCGAATATCTGAAATATACATATTAAAGGACGTCTTGAGTCGAAAAGAATCCATTGAGCTCAAAAAACACTCTTATAAATTTTTGAATTTTGACCGAAATTTTCCAAGGATTTTTTCGGTAGATTTTTTCAAAAAATACCAAGATTCTCAAAAGTCTCGAATTTTGCATCATGTTCATCTCGAGGGAACGAGAAATGGAACAAGTGCCTTGAAAAACAAGCTGAAAGCTTCAAATCTGAAAAAATCAACATTTTTGGTTCGTTTTAAGCGGTTCATTTTAAGCGAGCGGTTCCGATGTATCCATCATGATATATAAGCTGTGGTTTTATCCTGTAAAATTTGAGGCAGTTCACGGTGGATCGTTGACTTTTCAATGCCAGGAAATTTCGAGTTATGAGCAATCAAAAAACTATTATTTATTTCAATTGGGCGTAATGCGGTTAAACAAACGAAATGCCATATAACAAAAGAAGGTTTATTTTCTTATAAAATATCCAATAACGTAATGAGATGTGGTGTGATGCAAATAGTTCAATTATTGTCGAGTTAAAACCATTCATACTACATCAGCATGGGATGATGTGGCTTGCTGCTCCATGTGGTTGACTATGGTCTGCTCGTCCCCCATTTGGGATGTTTCCCCGATCGACGGCAAGACTGGAAAGGCTCGTTCAATTTTTCTTCGCATCCTTTTCCTTAAGGATTTTGCTTTAAAATCTTCAATTTTCCTGCAAAGCATATTAACTTTGTAACGTTTTAGCTTAAATAAAACGTAGGCTGCGCGCTGCATCCCGACAAAACAGACATTGAGGGCGAAAAACAATATTCGAAAAAAAAGGTTTTTCTATATAGATTAGCCGATTCGGAAATGTAATTTAATTAGGTACTTACTGTTGCCTGCAGTCGATGAAAACTGCCAAAACAAATATTAAAATAATGACTACTACAGCTGCGATAACGAACACCACTACAGTGGTGACTTGATTGGTTTCATTGGTCAGAATTTCAGTTAGAGTCATTTCGGTTTTGTTTTCTTCGCCTGCAAAAAAAAACATTATTCACGATTCAACAGAAAAGTTTTCACACAGACATTAATCTGAGAAGGAACTCATGCTTGGTTGTTTCTCAGAAGTGATCAGATCAGTTCCGTAGGTATTTACATTGTTTTGGTCTGAGGTAGCGATTTCCTCAGCTAGCAGTCACGGTATTTATAGCAACAATCGAAGAAATATTTTCAATTTGTATTAAATTCTGACTGGCTGCATTCGCTTTGTTGAATTTTCGCTTGTGATCAAGGCCGTGAGTTCAAACAATCCGTGTAATTATTTATTTAATAATAAAACTTCACTTTGTCGCGTTTTATAGCGGGTGAGATAAGTTTATTTTTACCACCGGAATCTACTGAGGCGTCTTGTTTTAGTATTTAAGTAGGATTAAGTTGATTCCGGAATCCTTGGAATTTGAATCAAATAAATACTTGCTTCGCCTTTACAAACATTATTCAAATTTGGCGCGCTACAGGGAATGACAGAACTTCTGTGTTGACCATGGAATTTGGTTAGGAACCCCTGTCAGGAAATGTTTGTTTATTATTGAACATTTGGGCTAAAAAGGGCTTTTGTAATTGAATGTTTGTATTTTATAGCACCTACAATGGTATAGTCAAAAGTCGAAAAAACCACTGCAGCAGGAAATCACTAGGCCAAATCAATAGGTAAAGTTAAGAACCGCCACTAAATAACGGACTGGAATGTATCATCACACTGCTATTCTTATCTTGGTATAAAGTAATTATTTATGCAAATGGCAATAAGCAGCTGTATATTTAGCGTTAATTAACAGATCTCCAGCAGCTTGTCGAATAATTTTACACGGAGTGGATCCAAGAATACGCGAAATCCTTTAGTTATTTCAATCTTGTGTAGCCGCGATTAATGTTTCTCCATGAAAAATCAGCGGTGGGTCGCGGATGTTTGTTCCCTTCTTTCCTTAAAACTTTGGATACTTTCATTGCTTTTGATGTTTCCTGGAGGCTTGTCTAGAACGCTTAGAATTGAGATCATTTTTCAAAACTCGGTAATTTCCAACATTTATAAGTCTAGACAAATTTCCGCGCGCGTATTTAAGTATATAAGCGCTACATTTATTTGTTTTGCAATTTCATTTGTTATCCTTGTTCAATTTTATGCCTGAAAATGCACAAATACTTTCACAATGCGCTACTTCGTCCTTTCCATCGCGTGGTACCCGGCTACGACATCGCTCAACCTGATGAGGACAATGGAAAATATCCTGACTTCTGTAGCCAAAAAGGGCATAGAGTAAGTAAAATTTTACTTTCTCTATGCTTGCAGGTACTCACCAAATTGTTCGAAAGTTTGTCGCTCATAACTCTCCATTCGATCGAAGCGCGAAAACGAAACAAATACAAAAAGAACTCGACAGGTGAACTACAGTGGTATTAGAAGGTTTCGCATAGACTGATTAGCAAACCTGACTGGTACATTAATATTTCATTGCTCACTTCATAGAATCGGAAAGTAAATTGGTTAGATAACGACGCTGCAGAACGTGTCTGTGTTCAGTAAACTCAACCATGTGGTTGAAGATCTTCTTGATGCCAGTGGCGGCGCTCTAGGATCTCAACAGGGGGCACCAGAACTTTCTCTATCTCGATCGACCACCTGACGAACTGCCATTAGTAAATATTGTTTTACCTAGGAGAGATTGAATCAAATTAGAATACCTACATTCATTTATTGTTCCGAAAAGAAGATATTTTGAGCATTTATTTGGAATGATTCAATGCACTGATTGCATACGGTTGTGAATGTGGGCGACTCACCTAACGTAGATTACATTTCACGATCGAGCACTCGAATTTGCTGGAATTTCCGATAGTATTTATTGCCTAAGTGACGGGCATATACAATGTCAATTCCCTAATCCAGAAATTTGAGCTGTTTGAATGCGCATAGCTAGCAAGTACCTTTAAACTTACCAGACGCTATTTAACACATCAATTTTCCGCAGGAAAATGGTTTTCTACTTTGAAATCGACGAGGAGCACCTACAGAAGGCGTCCGTATCATTCCAAGAAATCCAGGTAACTGTTCCAGCAATTCCAGTTTGCCATTTACTCCCTATTCTATAATTGCAGGATTTGTTACCCAACTGGGATACGAAAATCACGCAACTTTACAAATACGAGAACAAGGGCTTTTACGAAGTGGTTCTGCTGATCAACGCCCAGTCCGAGGCGGAAGTTAAGGAATGGTTGGAGCAATACGAGGAGAGAAGCAAGTGCTCATACACTGTAGCCTCCACCAGGAAAACCACCGGCATGAAAGTGGGGTTTAAACAGTTCTTAAGGTGCCGCCACAACACCAACTACAAAAAAGGCAGCGGCGATAGCAAGCGGCTGAGTAGAAACACCAATTGTGAGTCTAGAATGATCGTCACGCTAAGAACAGCCACCAGAAAGAAATACCGGGGCAAGCCCGTAAATGCTCCTGATAGGCAGTACCCGTGTGAAATCAGGCTGCTCCCCTGCCACAACCACCCCATCGGATCTGATGAGGTGTTAGGCTGCAGGCCAGTTTCAAAAGCTACCAAGCAGAAATTGGCCAATCTCTTCGATTATGGGCACACTCCATCCACAGCAATGGCATGTTTGAAACTGGAACTGCAATCTAGTCGCGATGACTATGAACACGCTTTAAAGGACAGGAGCATCTGCCCGAAATATCAAGATACCTTACAATTGTTCAATAGTCGCAGTAGAGGAAAAAGTGAAACCACCCGGGAGTTAATGTTGGGAAAGATTCGGGAGTTCAATGAGCAAAGCCCGAACAGCGCAGCCATTGAGTTTGTTGGGGATGAATATGCAATATGGTAAGCCAGCTTAGAAGCTCTTTTCCTAATTGATAGCTGAACCTACTTCAAAGTTACGATAATGATGTTTTTTTTCAGTCTATGCCCGCCCTTGATGAAAAGGGCGCATCAGAAAAGTACCGTTGCTTCAGACATGGTCTTCGTGGACTCAACTGAGACATCAACCCACCACGCATCCAAGGTTCATGTGTTGTCCACCACATTTGAGTGTGGGGCGTTGCCTTTAGGCGTTTTAATAACTTCTACAGAAGGGCTCGATCTTATCACACTTGCCTATAGAATGCTGATGGAATTAGTCGGTAAATTTTGGTTTTTTGCGCTTAAGCCCAATTTGTAAAAAATACATTTTGCAGGAGAATCAATATTTGGAGGAAATCCCGAAGGTCCCCAACTTTTCATGACCGATGACTCAGCTGCTGTCCAAACTGCTTTGCAGATTACATGGCAGAAATCTTCAGTTCTACTGTGCAACGCCCATCTGTTGCAGTCGTGGTGGAGATGGCTGATCAAAGCAGACAATGCCATACGCCAGGACGATCAGCCGTTGCTTTTTCACGATTTTCGCGATATTCTGTATGCTCGTACCAACTGCGAATGCTCCACCATGTATGAGTTAGCCCTAAGCAGGGCAGCGCAATACGGGAATTACTGCGTGCGTTTACGGAACTATTGGCAAATAAAAGAGCAATGGGCGCTATGCTTTCGTCCTCAGCTGGCCAATGGGAGCAATCCAAAAATCGATAGTTCAGTGCGAATAATTAAGGACAGGATCTTCGGACTGATGAAGAAGTTCAACAGCATTCAAATGCTCGATTTTGTCTATAACAATTTCACGCAGTATTATCAGAAGCGGCTACTGGACGCCTCTACAAACCGCCCAATTCAAAACGTTCTGAGCCCGGAAACAACTTTGATCCCAGGCGATATTCTTCACAATATAAAAACGTTGTCAGAGGACATCTATTGGGTTCCCAGTACGAAAAACTCTGAAGTGTTTCACGTAGTAAATGGCGAAGCATTGGATTGTACATGTATTTACAAGAGGTCGCTGGAGATGCTTTGCAAACATATCGAGTGGATCTGCCTTTATACCAAACCGGAGCGATTCCATGTGGAAATAAGTAATATGGAACTGAGGGCAAAGTTTTACATTGCTGAAGGAAAATATCCCAGGCAACAGCAGCTGTTTCCAGAGCGGAGCCAATCATCGGACAACTGTTCAACCGAAGTTATCACCGTATTGGTGGAGGATGAGATTAAGGACGAAGGCGATAGTTGCAACGCGCGAACCAATGATGTGATTATTGAGGAAGGAACTGAGATTGTGAAGAACATCTGCACCCAGTTGACTAGATATTTGCGCGAATCTCCCAATCCAGCTCTCGTGGCTTTAAAGACACTGGAATCCCAACTCCAGGGAGAGTTTCAACCGCTTTGCCATAAACTTTCGAACGACAAAACGCTCTGAAGTTGCTGCTTGTAACCACAGGGTACAGTCTGCTGGGAGAATTCAATGAAGACTGGGTAACGCCGCTATTTGCATTTTGTTTATAATGTTCAACTTTATATATATTTTTTTGAATTTTTACCCTTTTGCAATGGTCAGAAGCATTTTTTGTTTAAGGCTTTAAAGGCAATTTACTGTTGTTTTCCATTTGCAGGCAGTCCGGACCCACTTTGCTGATACAACGACCGAAAGGCGAAATATTGAAGGTATGTAACTTAGCTACAGAATAAAATGGCAATTGGACTTAATAACGCATAAGTGGTCTTATCTTGGTGCATGCACATTACTGCGTAATTCCGTTCCTTGACTGAAAGTAAAAGTTTTGCTATTATTTCTGTTGCGCCAAAATTAATTTAAATATCTCAACCGACTATGATTTCTTCATGTCCAGTTAATGTTGGACTAGTTTGGCCATGGATTCAGCTCTAAGGAGTGCCTTAATGACTTGGCGCATCAAGCGGCGTGTTTTCATTAGTTGAATCATTTACTTTTTATTCGCAGTGTTGTTTCATTATAATCGGATCACTTTTGGACGCTCCTTTGTAACAGCATATGTTTAAATTTGTCGTGCACTTTATTAATAGCTATACAAATTTTAACTTTATTGCATAATCAGTGTCTCGTTATTTTAGGAGTAATTTTTAAATATGAAGTTGTTGAAACTGGGTTTAAGCGTGTCCGGATCTTGCACGATTTTTTACTATCTATTGAAAAAAAATGTTAGATGACGTTATTGTGGGTGAGATAAGATGTCGTCAATCATTACCTCTACTTCTCCTCTACTACTAAGTCRGGMTCAAGTTGCAGATTCATRCYACTTGAACACAATAATGCATTTTTTATATGCTGCGATAAATTTTTTTGGAAATAATCGAGCACTAAAAGGTTTACGGTTACAGAAACACTTAATGAATAGCGCAAGAAAGCCACTTGTGTCGGATAATGGTTTTGTGATGTGCAATCAACAATCAAATTCAACTAAATTCATTGCGCAACAATAACCATCATGCATCCATCGATTGTCGTGTTCAATCCAGCATCACAATCGGTCGTTTGTACAACCCTTTTTTCCTCTTGTGCTGATGGAAAGTTAGATACTTTCAAAACGGTAAAAGGCATTGAAGTGCGGCTGCTGATGTTGGCTGGCTTACGTAACAAGTGCGAAAAAATTGCACTTTATTGTTAATTTAACGAAAGTGAGATGTATTGGAAAGTTACCAGGTTTTTATAGGTAGCGTACAAATACAGGGTGATTCAAAATTGGCGTCATTCCTTTTAATGGGTAATAGGAGCTCACTTGGAGAGTACGAGGAAAATGTTGAAATTTCGCGTCACGGTTAATTTTTTTTACTATTTTTTCTGTACTAAAACACCGCCAGACAACACCTCCAGAGGAATGACGCCATTTTTGAATCACCCTGTATATGTGGATGCTATTTGGTGTTGCAATGGCCACAGAATATATTGCTCAGGATTCATCTTGTAACTGGCATACATTGTTTCGATTCAGTATGTAATTTGTGGAGAATTAAGAATCAATGTTGCGATTTGTATGCATGCTTTTCCATATATTAAAATCTCACTGCAAATAATAGTTTTGTTGCAATAATTTTGAATTTTGTGAATGTTCTGAGAAGTCACTAATTAACAAACAGCTGAATAAAAGCTTTATTCAGCTGTTTGTATAGAAGGGTTAGTATTT